GCCCATTTGGTACTGGAGGACCAGGTCCCAAATCTACACAGTAAAATAACAACGTACTGGAGTGAACGATATGGACCAACCGGGCTGTGGTGGGTATGTGGGCCTGCGGGCCGCTCCAAGCAACAGCCTGGTGGACCAAACTCTCACAAGTCAAGCCTGGCCTCGGGCCGGGCTTGGGCAGTAGAAGAACTCCCAGAACCCCATCAACCAGGTATATGTGGGCCTGCGGGCCGCTCCAAGCAACAGCCTGGTGGACCAAACTCTCACAAGTCAAGCCTGGCCTCGGGCCGGGCTTGGGGAGTAGAACAACTCCCAGAACCCCATCAACCAGGTATATGTGGGCCTGCGGGTCGCTCCAAGCAACAGCCTGGTGGACCAAACTCTCACAAGTCAAGCCTGGCCTCGGGCCGGGCTTGGGCAGTAGAAGAACTCCCAGAACCCCATCAACCAGGTATATGTGGGCCTGCGGGCCGCTCCAAGCAACAGCCTGGTGGACCAAACTCTCACAAGTCAAGCCTGGCCTCGGGCCGGGCTTGGGCAGTAGAAGAACTCCCAGAACCCCATCAACCAGGTATATGTGGGCCTGCGGGCCGCTCCAAGCAACAGCCTGGTGGACCAAACTCTCACAAGTCAAGCCTGGCCTCGGGCCGGGCTTGGGCAGTAGAAGAACTCCCAGAACCCCATCAACCAGGTATATGTGGGCCTGCGGGCCGCTCCAAGCAACAGCCTGGTGGACCAAACTCTCACAAGTCAAGCCTGGCCTCGGGCCGGGCTTGGGCAGTAGAAGAACTCCCAGAACCCCATCAACCAGGTATATGTGGGCCTGCGGGCCGCTCCAAGCAACAGCCTGGTGGACCAAACTCTCACAAGTCAAGCCTGGCCTCGGGCCGGGCTTGGGCAGTAGAACAACTCCCAGAACCCCATCAACCAGGTATATGTGGGCCTGCGGGCCGCTCCAAGCAACAGCCTGGTGGACCAAACTCTCACAAGTCAAGCCTGGCCTCGGGCCGGGCTTGGGCAGTAGAACAACTCCCAGAACCCCATCAACCAGGTATATGTGGGCCTGCGGGCCGCTCCAAGCAACAGCCTGGTGGACCAAACTCTCACAAGTCAAGCCTGGCCTCGGGCCGGGCTTGGGCAGTAGAAGAACTCCCAGAACCCCATCAACCAGGTATATGTGGGCCTGCGGGCCGCTCCAAGCAACAGCCTGGTGGACCAAACTCTCACAAGTCAAGCCTGGCCTCGGGCCGGGCTTGGGGAGTAGAAGAACTCCCAGAACCCCATCAACCAGGTATATGTGGGCCTGCGGGCCGCTCCAAGCAACAGCCTGGTGGACCAAACTCTCACAAGTCAAGCCTGGCCTCGGGCCGGGCTTGGGGAGTAGAACAACTCCCAGAACCCCATCAACCAGGTATATGTGGGCCTGCGGGCCGCTCCAAGCAACAGCCTGGTGGACCAAACTCTCACAAGTCAAGCCTGGCCTCGGGCCGGGCTTGGGGAGTAGAAGAACTCCCAGAACCCCATCAACCAGGTATATGTGGGCCTGCGGGCCGCTCCAAGCAACAGCCTGGTGGACCAAACTCTCACAAGTCAAGCCTGGCCTCGGGCCGGGCTTGGGCAGTAGAACAACTCCCAGAACCCCATCAACCAGGTATATGTGGGCCTGCGGGCCGCTCCAAGCAACAGCCTGGTGGACCAAACTCTCACAAGTCAAGCCTGGCCTCGGGCCGGGCTTGGGCAGTAGAACAACTCCCAGAACCCCATCAACCAGGTATATGTGGGCCTGCGGGCCGCTCCAAGCAACAGCCTGGTGGACCAAACTCTCACAAGTCAAGCCTGGCCTCGGGCCGGGCTTGGGCAGTAGAAGAACTCCCAGAACCCCATCAACCAGGTATATGTGGGCCTGCGGGCCGCTCCAAGCAACAGCCTGGTGGACCAAACTCTCACAAGTCAAGCCTGGCCTCGGGCCGGGCTTGGGGAGTAGAACAACTCCCAGAACCCCATCAACCAGGTATATGTGGGCCTGCGGGCCGCTCCAAGCAACAGCCTGGTGGACCAAACTCTCACAAGTCAAGCCTGGCCTCGGGCCGGGCTTGGGCAGTAGAACAACTCCCAGAACCCCATCAACCAGGTATATGTGGGCCTGCGGGCCGCTCCAAGCAACAGCCTGGTGGACCAAACTCTCACAAGTCAAGCCTGGCCTCGGGCCGGGCTTGGGCAGTAGAAGAACTCCCAGAACCCCATCAACCAGGTATATGTGGGCCTGCGGGCCGCTCCAAGCAACAGCCTGGTGGACCAAACTCTCACAAGTCAAGCCTGGCCTCGGGCCGGGCTTGGGCAGTAGAAGAACTCCCAGAACCCCATCAACCAGGTATATGTGGGCCTGCGGGCCGCTCCAAGCAACAGCCTGGTGGACCAAACTCTCACAAGTCAAGCCTGGCCTCGGGCCGGGCTTGGGCAGTAGAAGAACTCCCAGAACCCCATCAACCAGGTATATGTGGGCCTGCGGGCCGCTCCAAGCAACAGCCTGGTGGACCAAACTCTCACAAGTCAAGCCTGGCCTCGGGCCGGGCTTGGGGAGTAGAACAACTCCCAGAACCCCATCAACCAGGTATCATGTCGACGGAATGACATAATTAATCCTTAGTCAATTTCACTCATTTGGTTGTAGTAAACCAATCATATTAAAAATACATCGGTCGCTGTATCTGACTGTTCAGTACAAACAGTTAACACTTAAAAGGCTGTTACTACAGCTCCTCCTCCTCCTCCTAAGGTTTCGAAATGTCAAGAAAACTGTAAATTTAAAGTAGTCTCCCCCTAACCCATCAGAGGACCCAAAACAGAAAACGGGATTTTCGCGAGTCGCTTCCATTGTCTAGTACGACGATTTTTGGCTTTATGTAACGCCTACGTCCTAAATGCGACGTTCTTTCTGAGAGGACAGGTTGGTTACCGGGGCTAAATTATCTACAAGCTGGCACCGGTCAGCCTTTTTAGTCTTGCTATGTATTAGAACAAGAACCAATGGTCTCGCCTTATCCTGGGTTCGAACTTGGGTCATTTCCGCTTTCATGGCGAGTTGGTGAGAACCGTGGTAGCCACTACGCCAAGAGTCACATGTCTTGGACACGCTGGACTATTATGCTATGCAACAAAAGGCAGCAATAACAGCAGCGATCTACAACATCACTACACGGCTGTACAGCAGAAGAGCAGCAGCAGCAGCAGCAGCAGCAGCAGCAGCGGAGAGGGGCCAGCGTCACTCACAACGGTACAAGGTAATCAAATCCTTATCCAGGAACCACAAGATGTCGGCTATCTGGCGGGCCACGTCTGGCTCCATTAATGACGGCAGGTTATCTTGAGTTATCTTGAGATGATTTCGGGGCTTTAGTGTCCCCGCGGCCCGGTCCTCGACCAGGCCTCCACCCCCCAGGAAGCAGCCCGTGAGAGCTGACTAACTCCCAGGTACCTATTTTACTGCTAGGTAACAGGGGGCATAGGGTGAAAGAAACTCTGCCCATTGTTTCTCGCCGGCGCCTGGGATCGAACCCAGGACCACAGGATCACAAGTCCAGCGTGCTGTCCGCTCGGCCGACCGGCTCCCCTGAAGTTTGCTGACTCTTGCGGGGGGGGGGGGGAGTTTGTCGACAAGCGGTGCTGGATCCCATCCCACCCTTGGTGGATCATTTTTATAGCGTGACAATTCGAAACAACATATTGGTGGTACTAACACACCTATTTTAACAGTATTGCAGGCACTAGACATAGCAATGCATTTGGCCCGCTACCGAAATGATAGGCACTGGGGCCCCCTATCCAAATAATAGGCACTGGGGCCCCCTATCCAAATGATAGGCACTGGGGCCCCCTATCCAAATGATAGGCACTGGGGCCCCCTATCCAAATGATAGGCACTGGGGCCCCCTATCCAAATGATAGGCACTGGGGCCCCCTATCCAAATGATAGGCACTGGGGCCCCCTATCCAAATGATAGGCACTGGGGCCCCCTACCCAAATAATAGGCACTGGGGCCCCTATCCAGATGAACCCCGCCCCTTCCCTGAAATGCGGGATTACCGTCAGAGACACAATTTAATAAATATACCTTAAAAAACAAAAAAATTGAATCCCAGGTCTTTCCAGCGAGAAGCTGTGTAATTATTCACTATACCAAGAGATCTGGCATGAACAATATGGCAGTATAGGGCCCTTAGAATTGTGGCCCCTCACCCCTAGAATCGTGGGGTGGGGCCCTTAGAATTGTGGCCCCTCACCCCTAGAATCGTGGGGTGGGGCCCTTAGAATTGTGGCCCCTCACCCCTAGAATCGTGGGGTGGGGCCCTTAGAATTGTGGCCCCTCACCCCTAGAATGGTGGGGTGGGGCCCTTAGAATTGTGGCCCCTCACCCCTAGAATCGTGGGGTGGGGCCCTTAGAATTGTGGCCCCTCACCCCTAGAATCGTGGGGGGAGGGGCCCCTAGGGCATCTGCCTAGGGTGGTCAGGTGTTCAGTTGTCGCCAGCCGCTACCATTTGCTAGCACGAAAGTTTTTGATCTTGGGTAACGTGTACGTCAAAATGCGACGTTTTATTAGGAGGACGGGTTGCTTGGTGACGGAACCAATCACTGGTGTGTGTGTGTGTGTGTGTGTGTGTGTGTGTGTGTGTGTGTGTGTGTGTGTGTGTGTGTGTGTGTGTGTGTGTGTGTGTGTGTGAGAGAGAGAGAGAGAGAGAGAGAGAGAGAGAGAGAGAGAGAGAGAGAGAGAGAGAGAGAGAGAGAGAGAGAGAGAGAGAGAGAGAGAGAGAGAGAGAGAGAGAGACAGACAGAGACAGCCAACAAGTGTTACAAGAAAGAAGATTTAGAGAAATAGTTGAGTATTACCCTGAAAGTCAAGCCCGCGCCATGCTTCACAAAGTAACATAACAGCTGACCACACAAAAACACCCACATCATTCACAACACATGTTTGATACAACGAACACAAAAAATACGTACGAAACTGACCTTTCTGGGCGAGCTTCATAAGGGTCTTCCTCTTCTCCACTTCCTGGAGATAAAGTGCTCTGTAATCCTCGTCGGCAGCCCCCTCTCCATTTTCTGTGGTCGAGGGAACAGGATATCCTCCGTTTTCTGTCATTATGGCGGTAGGGGATCCAGGGGCGACTGTTCAATTATTCCCTGGTCATTGTCCTCTCTGCACCTTGGGAAGGAGAGAGTGATTAAACAACTTTGCAACAGAGTGGAAGCGATTAGGCAAGGATTAGAATCACGCAGCTTGAACGCATTAAGTGACAACAGGTTCTGGGCTCACTGTTTCTTTAATACTGTCGCGTGTTGATGTTATTTGGTCATAACTACATCCTAACGCCACGATTGGTTTATGTTCATTTGTTAAACAACTCCCACTCAACAAATGAACAACTGTGCCACTAAGGGAGCCGGTCGGCCGAGCGGAGAGCACGTTGGACTTGTAATCCTGTGGTCCCGGGTTCGATCCCAGGCGCCGGCGAGAAACAGTGGGCAGAGTTTCTTTCACCCTATTCCCCTGTTACCTAGCAGTAAAATAGGTACCTGGGTGTAAGTCAGCTGTCACGGGCTGCTTCCTGGGGGTGGAGGCCTGGTCGAGGACCGGGCCGCGGGGACGCTAAGCCCCGAAATCAATTCAAGATAACCTCAGGATTACTATAAACAGTCGGTACATATTCCCCAATTGGTAAAACAGGATCAACGCCTTTTTTCATATATTTTAAAATATATGAATTAGATAATTTGTTTGTTACTGTGAGAGATGGTTACTGTGAGAGATGGTTACTGTGAGAGATGGTTACTGTGAGAGATGGTTACTGTGAGAGATGGTTACTGTGAGAGATGGTTACTGCGAGAGATGGTTACTGCGAGAGATGGTTACTGTGAGAGATGGTTACTGTGAGAGATGGTTACTGTGAGAGATGGTTACTGTGAGAGATGGTTACTGTGAGAGATGGTTACTGTGAGAGATGGTTACTGTGAGAGATGGTTACTGTGAGAGATGGTTACTGTGAGAGATGGTTACTGTGAGAGATGGTTACTGTGAGAGATGGTTACTGTGAGAGATGGTTACTGTGAGAGATGGTTACTGTGAGAGATGGTTACTGTGAGAGATGGTTACTGTGAGAGATGGTTACTAGGATAAATAGCTATCAGCTGGTGTTATAAATCCTTTTAAACAACCGTTAACTTGAACATGTAGGGAACCTGATCCCTTTCAAACCGGCAGGAGAAACCACGTGTTGGTTCATATTCATTACACTGCAAACAGCCACTTGGGCAGTCTACCAGCCAGTGCCATGACTGGTAGTCAGTGCCACGACCATGCACCATGGCCAGTGCCATGGCCATGCACCATGACCAGTGCCACAACCATACACCATAGTCAGTGCCACAACCATACACCATGACCAGTGCCACAACCATACACCATAGTCAGTGCCACAACCATACACCATGACCAGTGCCACAACCATGCACCATAGTCAGTGCCACGACCATGCACCATGGCCAGTGCCACAACCATACACCATGACCAGTGCCACAACCATGCACCATGGCCAGTGCCACGACCATGCACCATGGCCAGTGCCATGGCCATGCACCATGGCCAGTGCCACAACCATGCACAAACAAGAACAACATATCTTGCTTTTTGACACATTCTGCCAAGGAACGAGCCAAGCGGGCCAACATTTAAGATAAGAAACAACTAAATAGCGAATATATCTTATCAACCTCGATATATTTAACAAATAATTCCCTTCCGTGGTATTGTACTATGGACAAGGACATAAACAACATGAAGTATCTACAAGATAATCATTGGAGCAATGCGAACCTCAGGTTAAATAACTTTTAGCACATCGTGGTCCATGGGCTGAGGCGTGTGCGTCTGGGGATTAAACCTAGACTTTCCTTTGGTCCTTATCTAATGATTTTCTTACTGTGTTATATACTCCAAAACCTTAACTACGTTTATGGCATTAAGATCTAACTAGAGGGGCACTTATCAGTGATAACTGCCCGAAACGCTTTGCGTAATAGTGGCTTTAGGCATTGTATGTACTAGCTCTATCTATAAAGCCTACAAACTTTGTAAAATCTCTTTATGTATGTACCTTTACCTAAATAAAAAATTATTATTATAATTATTATTATTATGATAGAATTATCCAGAAACTGTTGCTCCTGTTTGACTCATATTTGCCAAGCAGAGCGATTATCCGTCATTGATTGATAATTCCTCTGGGACCTCTAATGGCTAGGTCATTGGTGGTTGATAAACATTATGAAACTCACTCACCCCCAAAACTCACATACATCTAACCAATGGTGAAATAACCTAACGATTCCGTTTGATTTATTGCCCGGTAATTTGTTCCATAAATTAACAACCTTGTTTCAAAACCGGCATCTAGGCAGGGTGGTTCATGAGCCATAGATGCCTAATAGGCGAGCAGATCAGTACAATCCTAAGCTGTTCATTGTGGCCATGTATCACCGCGGCTATTTTCGGAGGCTTCAAATGAATCACGACTTCATACAGTTTACTTTTAATGATCACTGATGGAACCGCATTTGTAACATTTGTAACTGTAAATGTAACAGAAAAAAACAGTCCAACGGCAAACCTTTTGTGAAGGTGCTTTTGTAACTGAGAAACAGCCTCTATTGGTCACGAGTTGCCTATTGCTGTTTCAAATCTTTTGTTGTCTTGAATTTCTATACCTATTCATGGTACGTTCTCCGGAAACCAAATTGTGTATTGGCAGCCCGTCCTGGACACCACTATAGGGCCCCAATACATGATGTTCATCTCTTGCTGCCATGTTAGGCAGCGTTTGGCTTGAAATTGTCAAGCAACTGCTAAATATATATATATACAATGTGAGCTGGCTCGCGTGGACCATTAGGCTTTCTGCAAAATTCCTGTATTTGTTTTCTAAAATTCTACCACAAACCTCAATAAGATGAATATGTTTCCTATTCCCCAAAAATTATATACCTTACAAATTTGGGGTATATTTCCACCGACTTTTGATGATATATTTAGATTCTTTATTCAGGTAAAGGGACATGCATTGAAGAGGAGTTACAAACATACTATTGGATTTAAAGACAGAGCTAGTACATACAATACCTAAAGCCACTAATGCGCACAGCGTTTCCGGCAAATATGCATAACGAAAATCAAGCGGTTAACGACACAACTCGTTTTCACATTCTCCCAGAAAATCAATGATGTGGTCAAGCGCCTTTCGACCAAGAACACTTCCATCGACCAGTGTGTCCTCCAGGCTGTTCTGGTGAATGCTGTGGTCGACCAGAAAGACGCAGGGATATATAAAGTGATGTAGCTTGCTTCGCTGTGAATGAGCACCGCTCCTGTGTCAGGTAAGTTCACTACGGGCTCACCATAGCCCGTGCTACTTAGAACTTGTTCCGAGTAGCTGAATCTATAACAACATGCTTCGCTGTGCATATACATTGAGTTTGCAGGCGATGAGTCACAATAACGTGGCTGAAGAATGTTGACCAGACCACACACTAGAAGGTGAAGGGACGACGACGTTTCGGTCCGTCCTGGACCATTCTCAAGTCGACGAAACGTCGTCGTCCCTTCACCTTCTAGTGTGTGGTCTGGTCTACATTGAGTTTACCTTAGTCCTGGACTATGTTCAGGGCTTGAGTATACTTGCTGGTTGGTCAGTAAGGTGTTGTGGTGGCCTTAATAACCCTCCAGAGATTGATAGGCCTTAATAACCTCCAGAGGTTGGTAGACCTTAAGTCCAAAGACGCAGTCATCAGTTTTAATCTACTGTGCATTCAAAATCGGGGTTATATATAAATTTGAATTATATATTAGAATTTGATGTATAGTTAAGCGTAAGTTAGGTTGTCTTGGGTTGTGTTGGCAACACGTGGGAATAAGATTCGGACAGTTGACGTGAGCGAAGCACTGAGAAAAATTCTAAAGTCATCAGCTGTGATTCGTGTGTTTAAGTTCTGCGTGTAACGAGTTTTTCATTCATAAACGGGGTTTGGCGGCTGGATTAACGAGCGTGTGGCCTTTGTTGATGATGACGGACTGTTTTCGAAGAAGAAAAACTTCAAACATGAAACAATTCCAAAAGATCCAAATCTTACATATCAATTACCTCAACACCAACGATATATGTAAATTAAATGACTAAATAATTGTCATTCGTGACTAAACTAACAAAAAATCACCTTGAGCAATTGTGCGACTTTAAATTCTATTCACATCTGGATCAGCCAAATTAGGACTCCAGAAAGCTATATAAACACATGAACAAAAGCCTATCGGAGCTCCAATTACTTTATATCCTAATAAAACGTGTATAATGCGCTCATGTGATAGGACTTGATTAACCTATATCTAAAAACAATGTGCCATTCACCAATGTCTCTCAGACGACTCTTGTTCCCAAGAGAAAAACCAAAGAATTTATATATAAGATTTGGTTTCATGTTTTTTGAATCACGACATGGCGCTTAAGCCCGAATAAATTTGATTATTTCTCGTGGTTAGGGGGCACTGAAAATACATGCAACAGGAACTTGTATAAATACAGTATACACAAAAATACACGCACGCCTACAGTAAGACATGATGGAGTTAAAGTATAACACCGGACCAGTATGAGGGATTTAGTGTTGGTTACAGGGAGTAATCCCCAGTCTCGCCCTGTGAGCGTGAGCGGTAGTTTGTGTCCACCATACTCTCCCTGTGAGCGGTAGTTTGTGTCCACCATACTCTCCCTGTGAGCGGTAGTTTGTGTCCACCATACTCTCCCTGTGAGCGGTAGTTTGTGTCCACCATACTCTCCCTGTGAGCGGTAGTTTGTGTCCACCATACTCTCCCTGTGAGCGGTAGTTTGTGTCCACCATACTCTCCCTGTGAGCGGTAGTTTGTGTCCCCCCCCCATACTCTCCCTGTGAGCGGTAGTTTGTGTCCCCCCCCCATCATACTCTCCCTGTGAGCGGTAGTTTGTGTCCCCCCCCATACTCTCCCTGTGAGCGGTAGTTTGTGTCCCCCCCCCATCATACTCTCCCTGTGAGCGGTAGTTTGTGTCCCCCCCCATACTCTCCCTGTGAGCGGTAGTTTGTGTCCCCCCCCATCATACTCTCCCTGTGAGCGGTAGTTTG